CCACCGCCGCCCATCTTGAATTGAAGTGCGCAAGTATTTTTTTCTTTGGCCAACCCGGCCAGGGCGGGCAATGTGGCAACCTGGGGCCCGTTTTTTGAAGTGCGTCGGAGATTTGAAATTCTTTGGGGGAGTCCAGATTTTTATTGCCCGCAGTCGATCATGGCGCGTTTCGTGGTACAAATCTCAGGGCTGTAGGCGCAGTATCACTGCTGAAACACATGGAGCAACCGACGCCGTACAAAAACCCGATATATACATTTGGCCAGTTTTGAGGCTGGCATTTGGGAGCGCTCTCTCACCATTATCTGAGCACTAATCTGCGTTTTCTAAGAGCTATACGAGGGTCCCGGCGGTCACCTGGTTGACGGTTTACCGCTGGCTCCCAGTTACATGCAGAAATCCAATACCGTCTCGCACTAAATAGAAGACTGCAAATCACCATTTTGTCGCAGCTCTGATAGCAGACCGATTCCAGGCGTGTAGATATTTTAGACTGGTGCATCTTAGCATTCCCTGTCCATTTGTGTGCATCTCAGATCCGTAGCTGGCCTGGGGCTCGAATTTAATCAAGGAAACGCACGCCATCTCTCGTAAAAGCCCGAGTAGTTCTTTAATCGCAACTATGGTTGCAGGCTGAAATCACACGTCTCGATACCATCGGCGAATGTACATAGTAAGATTCGTATCGAAAGGTGCTTCTCAGCTCCATGGCCAGCCGACAGTTCGAATGAAGGGGAGAAAACTGCCATCATCTGTTAAATAATTGTCAGCGGGGCGTCCACCGCGTGCATCTGGGGTTGGACCGTCCAGAACCTCTGCGCGTTCCCTTGTGCCTTGGCTAATTTAGCGGCTCTCCGATCGCGCCGTCGAGCTTCTCCAGACAAGGGGGGGCGCACCCAGAGGACCACCTCGAAGTCGCCGCCCATCTCCTCCATAATCCTGTGGCAAGCTCCGGGCGCTGCTCGGTCGGCAGCAGCTCGAACCCGCCATGGCGCGCGGGCCGCCCACCGCGGCGAAAGCCCAGCGGGCGCCCGCCGGGCGAAGGTCCAGGTGCTCGCCATGTCGCTGGGAAGCACGTCGTGGCACTTTAGCATAGCTTCCTCTGCTGGAGCACGCCCCGGCAGGAGGCCTCCGCCGGGTGCGCGGCTGCCTGCCGTGCCCTCGTGCCGCCCGAGTTGCCTGCCAGCGCGTGCTGATGAGCTCCGGGAAGGCATCCGCGACGCTAGCTGAGCATGTTGGTCACCTCCGCGCTGTTGGTGAACCAGCCCGTCGGCTTCGTGATCGGCGTCCCTCCCGGACATGATCGCGTCGCAACAAGAATCAAGACGGGGGGCTTCTGGTCAATTTCGGTCTCGGGGGGCCTCGCCGAGCCTCGGGGTCCTTAACGTGAGCGACTCAGGATGCAAGACTGGCCCCAGGGAAAGGATCGGGTCTTGAAGCGCGCGTCCGTCCATTATCATCTCTTCTATTGGAGCGACAACTGAAGTGCCATGGGAAATTAGCCAGAGCCCCCCCGCAGTCGCTTCCGAGAGCGATGGTTTTCCAACCATGCCGGAATCTTTTGATGCCGCGAGACTGGCGCTCCCCATAAAATCGAAGGAGGCCACGTTTGCAATGGGCTGCGTATATGCGCGCCCGCGCGATGTGTGTTGCAGGGGGCGACCCGGACCGCCTGCAAGTCTTGTTGCAGCCCCCTCAACGTCGTTGGGGCGCAGCTGTCAATGAAAACTGAAACTCTTTACTGTGGTGTTGTTGTGTTTCCCCCCCTCTCACCCCTCTCCCCGCCCTCCTTCCTCTCCTGCTCGCCCTCTCCTGCGCGCGAGCGTTGCTGATCACCCTCGCGCGCCGCTTGCACAAGGGCTGCCAGTGGTCGAGCTCCGAGGCACGGTAGCCGCTCCCAGACATGTGTATGTAGTTTTTCTTTTGCCGCTGCGCAGTCCATGCGCGGCTCTTGAGTGAGTGAGTGAAAGAGGGGGGTGATGACTAGGGGGGGTGGATACCATGCGGGGGCCATGATACTATCCCAGATATCATGGCGCCTCCTTTTATTTTATTACGTTCGTGGCCCCCCCGCTGGGCCGCGCACGTGCCGCCGGTCACGATGTGCACCCCCCCCCATTGGGACACCCCCCTCTTGGCCGCTCCCGACGTATAGGAAATAATCAGGACGTCGCGTGTCTGGGCCTGAGTCTGCGTCGCGCGCCCCGTGTGCGCGCGGATCCCCGCGAGTGAGGTCCCCGCGCCCTCGGGGGCGCCGGGGTCGGTCGGGATCTCCTCGCAGGTCCACGACTTGGCTGCCAGTGGATGCTCAGCCCCAACGTGGTGCCCCCAGTGGGGGGTTCTCTCCGAAGGGCTTAGGCCACCCGTCCTCCTCTTTCCTTTTCCTCCTCCTCCTCCTCCTCCTCCTTTTCCTCCTCCTCCTCCTTCTCGGGTCGCCTACGGCCCCGGGGCAAACCGTCCAGCCCCCAGTCGCGAGCTCGTTTCGCACGCCTCCGTTCAGCCTCCCAGTCGGTCCACTTGTCCGTTTTTGCCACAGCAGACCAGGGTGTGCATGTGAAAGCCAAGACCGTGACCTGGACATGCGACGTTCTTTTTTCCCCCCCCTCAGACGGACCCCCTGGAAGTCCCGACCCTTTCCGTGGGAATGGTTTTTTATCCTGAATCGTTTTTTTGACGATCCCGAGGATCGGCGGGCCCCCCCGAGGCCGACATGGGCCAATGGCCTCCCGTCTTGATTTTTTACGACGCGATCGTGTCTGGGGATGCGTGGCCAGCGCCAGTGCTGATCCAAAATGACGTTCCGCATCGCGCGGCCCGCAGCTGCCAGCAAGGTCGTAGTCTGGCGAGCGCTTCGCGCCCGGCGTCTGCGAGTGAAACCGGCCGGTCATCCGTCGGCCCCACGTCGGGACAAAGCGCATCTGCCGCCGGAGGGCTCGAAGAGCGCCGCGTCTGGAAGTTGACCGCCGTCTCAAATCAGAAGCAGCGCCGTAAACATAAAAAGTTTGGCGCTCCGCGCGGCTTCGTTGGATCCGCGCTGGGGCCCCCAGCCGGCGCGCTTCGCGCGCCAGGGATGGGGGCCCAGAGCTCCTCCATCGCGGTCTCCTTCATTGCCTGAACCAGGAATTGCTGGTAGTAGTCCCAGGCATGATCGCGTCCTTATAAAAAATCATCACGGGAGGTCTTTGGGCAATTTCGGCCTCGGGGGGCCTCGCCAGGCCTCGGGATCGTCAACAAAAACGATTCAGGATGAACAACTGGTCCCGGGAAAAGGTCGGGACTTCCATGGATTCCGCATGGAAAAATCAGGACGTCGCATGTCTTGGTTCATTGCTGGACAGCGCTGTCGGCGTTGTCATCAGCAACTGTTGCTTAGTTACTTTGGCTGACTGTGACCTTCTCGTCTGTCTTGTCCTTGTTAGTGTCATCCGCCCTTTGGTCCAATCCTAGTGCTAGATGCCCGTCGGCCTTGAGCATCGTCACCGTAACCGCGAGCGCCGATCGTCATCTCACGCAAGTGTAGTACGTCTCCGAGAGCTTCTTGAGCCGCCAGGCTCAGTAGGAGTGGCGTGATGTATCCTTCTATCTCCGTGCTGTGTACAACGCTTCTGCGGCCTCCTAGGCCATTGGGAATCTTCATAAAATCCGTCCGCGTCGCTGACCTCCGAGCGCTCAGGTTTAGTTCCTTAACTGATCTTTGAAGTCGACCCGCAAACCCGTGGGAATGAAACGCCCCTTCTCGAAGATCGCTCGCCAATCGTCTCCGCGCATGCACCGGGTGCATCTGCAAGAGCCACGTCGCTGCCTTCACCCAACATGAACATTTCACTGGTCATAGACACCATGCGTAGCAATTCTCCGACAGGTACTGGACGCCGCAGGCGCTCTCGGGGGGCCACGGGGGCTTTGGTAGGAGCAGGGGGTCAGATAGTCGATGGCGGTGATACCGACTCCCGCAGCATCTTCTTGCCCTCGTCTTAGCTCCTGGTGCCCTTGCAGTCGGGTGCTTGCCATAGCCGAAGAACTAGCCGCCGCTGCGAGTGTCCTGCCTTGGCACCGTTTCCTTGCCACAGTTAGGGCATACCATGCTTTGACTGACATTCGTCCGTCATCTTCTCCTCAGCTGATGGTTCCGTCGTGCTCGCGCTTTCTTCAGGGTCGTCCTCGATGCCGCCAGCGAGTTCGAATGAGCTGGTGTCTGAGTTCACTTCGCCTGTGTAGTAGTCGGTAGGTGCCCGTCGTTCTCGCCGTCGTCCAAGACGACGAGCGTGGCGTCCTTCCGCTTCTTGTTGCCCTGAGCTTCCCGCCGACGATGATGAGCTCCAGGCTGGCTTCGAGAAAGCCGCTGCCCGACTCGGAGCCGCCGCCGCTTTGCCCTTCGACTGCTTCGGCTTGGATACGAGAAGGCAGTCTGGACCCCTGGCCCAGTGGCCCACCTGGCCCCAGGCCCCGCGCGCCGTGCGTGGCTTCTCCTTCGAGATCGCCGCCTTCGCACCTCGAGCGTCAGGGTAACCTCCGCCTCGAAGAGCCGTCGCTCTTGTTACAGGCTGCGCGCCTTGAGCCTGGCGGTGTCGCAGGCGGCGTGCGTGTGGTCGGTGGCCTCGTCCTCGCTCGCGCCGATGCGGCTCGGGCACTCCTCGCCAGCATCCTCCGCCTCCAGCGTCTCTTCGTCGGTGTGCTGATCATCGTCGTCGTCGTAGTCGTCGTCGTCGTCGTCGTCGTCGTCGTCGTCGTCGTCGTCGTCGTCGTCACCGCTCGCGCGGCACTCGCTCGCGCGGCGCAGGCCTGCTGCCCGGGCGCCCGCTTCCATGAGAGGCCCTGCCGCCACCGCAGGCCTTGTTGTTGTTGGTGTTGTTGTTGTTGTTGTTGTAGTTGTTGTTGTTGTTGTTGTTGTTGTTGTTGTTGTTGTTGTTCTTTTGTCGCCCTTGCCGCCACTTTTGCTGTCCGGCTGCTGGTTGGGCCTTCCTCGTCCGCTGCTCTTGCACATTCGGGTCGTGGTGCACGGTTCGTCTTCAAGGTCTTCTCGAAGCTCTCCGTCTCGTATCTGTTGTCCGCTACAGTCGTCATCAGCCGCTTCTGGTCATCATTGAGCGTGACTCCTTCAAACAGGAAGTAGGCGCAGAGGTCGTCGTTAAGCTTCGTGCCCTGGTCGAGGTCCGCGAGCTCCTTGTACTTGTTGTGAGAAGTTCGTAGGTGCTCGATGATGTCCTGGCCCCGGCAACGCCGAGACCGCTTGAAGATATCGTCGAGTTTTTGCTGCTTGCGCACCACCGCATCCTTGCCGAGGCCCTCAAGGCCGCCATCCTGTGTGAGCAGCTCCATCTTCTCCAGCAGTGGCTCGACCGGCTGCCAGTGAGCCCGCGCGTCAGTCGTAGTCCAAGGTTCCTCCGCTTCTCCTCCGATTGTACTCGATGCTCATCCGCATCCGGTACTCCTTGAGCATGGCGATGTTCTCGTCGTCCCAGTGAGGGATGCCCTCCTTGTCTGCGTAGAGCTCCTGGCGGCTTTCATGAGAATGCGACGATCCTCGTCCGTAAACCTGACCTGCTCCGCTGCAAGTTTGAGACCTCCTCCCAGACATGCGAGGTCCTGATTTTTCCGATACGGGGCCCCTGGAAGTCCCGACCCTTTCCCCAGGACCAGTTTTTCATCATACATCGCTTTTTGACGATCCCGAGGCCCGGCGAGGCCCCCCCGAGGCCGAAATCGGCCACAAACCTCCCGTCCTGATATCTATGCGACGCGATCATGTCTGGGACGCCATCCTCGTCCGTGAACCTGACCTGCTTCGCTGCCGGTCTGTGACCTCCTTCCCTGTGCAGGAGCTGCGTGCAGCCCCTCTGCCACCAAGCCAGGGCGCGCAGCGAGTCTCGCAGTGGGAGCAGGGAGCAGGGCGCCCTGGCAGCAGTGAAACCCTGGGGCCCCAGGCTCGGGCCAAAGACAGCAGCAGAACAGAGGGATGAGGGGCGAGGCCTGCTATCTGCGCTCTGCTCTTGAGATCCTCACATACAAGTATATATAATATATACACCCAGATTTGTATTGGAGTGCTGACCTACTGCAGTGTAAAACGGGCCGTGATCTTGATAGGGTTGCGATGTAGGGTTGACGCAGTGGAGTGTGGTGTGGGTGCATGCGGGGAGATCTTGAAATGGGTTGTAAGTGGATGTGCCGCAATGCACTGCGATGCGATGTAATGTCATACCATTCATATACAATGCTAGCCAAATAATTCAGCACATGTTTTGGGGGGGACTGCGCGGATCTAGGTTTTTAGGAGTCGCGTTGAACCGTTCGGGAATGTACCACAGTGTGTTTTTATGTAGTTCACGGCATCAAGCATCACATCCCATACATGCCACCTACCGAACCACCGTCTTTTCTAATGCCTCGCCCTCTGAACGGCAAGTGTGGGCGCACACACGCACAGCTTTGAATTGTAGCATTCAGCGACTCGCTTCCGAATATCGCGTTGTTCATATTTTGTATTTTGTTGATTGCCCTGGCGATGCCTCCGATCAGTTCGTATGTTTTTGTTGATTTGCCTTGTGCGCCACTGCCGTGCTGCAGTGGAGATGCATGTTCTCAGTCACGGCTGCTCTTCGCCGCAGTGTCGATTCTTTTTCCTTTGTGCACCTCCGATGCCCCCTAGCCGTAGCCACCGAATTGGCGCAGGCTGGCCCGATGATGGGAGGTCTCCGGAGACACTCTCTCACGCGTCCCCTCGGGACGGCCGGGATTCCGCGGTGCGGAGGAGGCATAGTGTCAAGGGTGCAGAAGTGGTTGATCAGGGTCCAGTGCATGACAAGCAGGAAGCGGAGGAGGCGAAGTACGAATCTAGGAGGCCCTGGGATGTTTCCAGGAGGAGGAGGAGGAGGAGGAGGAGGAGGAGGAGAAGGAGGAGGAGGAGGAAGAAGAGGAGGAGGAGGAGGAGGAGGGGGAGGAGGAGGAGGAGGGGGAGGAGGCGGAGCAGGGGTAGGAGGCGGAGTACGAATCTATTTAGTGGCCATCGGCCAGCCTGTCAACGTGCCTCTGGGTCGAGTAGCAGGGGCCCTCTCGGATGCCTCCTGCGTAGGGTGTCTCGGGGCGCCTCATCGGCGACTTCCCGGAGTCCTGCTGGGGACCTCTGCGCGGGTATCCTGGAGGCCTCTCCTGGGGCCTCTTGGGGCCTCCGGTGGGGGCTCCTTGGGGCCTGTTGGGGATCGTGGGAGCCAATTGGGGCCATCTTTGGAGGGAGAGGCTCCCCAAACCCCAGACCCACTCACTTTCCCCCTCTTGGGGCCCTCTCGGGCCTTGGCCGGGGCCGTCTTGAAGTCCCCTCGGCTACCTGTTGTGCCGCCTGTAGGCTGTTTTGGAGGCCTCTCAGGTCTTGGAGCGTTTGATACGCGAAAGTACGAGAACGCTGATCTCACTAAAACACCTAAGGAACCTCGATAATCTTGGCTCTTAGGGCCCTCTTGGAAGTCATCTGGGAGCCCTCCTGGGGCGTCGTGGAGGCCTCTCTGGCCGTCTAGAGGACGTCTTGGCCGCAGCGCTTTTGGGCGGTATCGGGGCTTCCAGGATTGTCCTTGGCCTCTTTTCGGAGCTTCTTGATCCGTCTTGGAGCTCTTTAGCCGCAGGAGACGGTCACGTAGCACGCCCCAGAAGTCACTCGGGACATCCAGGGAGATTCGTGAGTGGGGTGTGTGTCACGGCTCCAGAAAGCAGTACGCAGTATTCAATATTGGAGGATCGACAGGACCTGAGCACACTTCTCTTACAGTGGAAGCGCATGCTAAGACACACCCTGCTTGCCTCCAGGGTGCCCTGGGTTTCTTGGGTTTCGACGGTTTTGCGATGCAAAGCGTGACGACCCCACACCGAGAACCAATGGAGGTCCTGGGGTCTTAGGGTTGGGTTTCTTGTGGAAGGTTTCCTGTGGTCGAGCCCCTGCTGTACGTACTGTTAAGTCGGGCCTTTCCCTCTACAGGGAAAATATTCAAGAATAGTCACACAATAGTCTGGGGACTTTTTTTTGTATCAGTATTTTTGACAATTTTCGAGTATTTTTTCCCTCTACAGGGAAAATATTCAAGAATAGTCACACAATAGTCTGGGGACTTTTTTTTGTATCAGTATTTTTGACAATTTTCGAGTATTTTTTGGGTATTTTCAATTTTTCGTCGAAAATCCCCACCACCGTGGCCAGTGCGAGCGGGTCGCCTGCCCGTGTGAAGGGTGGGGCAGCGCACAGATGCTGCCGCGCGCGCTGCCTGGGGCGTCCACCCCGGCGCCTCCTTCGGCCTGGAGGGTTTCTCCGAAGGGCTTAGGCGACCCCTCCTCCTCCTCCTCCTCCTCCTCCTCCTCCTCCCCCTCCTCCTCCTCCTCCTCCTCCTCCTCCTCCTCCTTCTCCCTCTCCTCCTCCTCCTCATCCTCGTCTTCGTCGTCGTCGTCGTCCTCCTCCTCCTCCTCCTCCTCCCCTCCTCCTCGGGTCGCCTACGGCCCTCGGGGAAACTGTGCACTTCGGCTGAGCAGCTCACACAGAGAGAAGCGCGACTGCGAGTGGCGTTCCCTTGTTTCGCTCAGGGTAATTGTGCGGTCGGGAAGTGGCGACGCTGTCGCAGAGACCTTTCCAAGGTGCGCCGCAGCAGTCAGTACGTCCTACGACCGGTTCAGGGCAATCGGGTTCGCCACAGTTTCACGCTTGTTGCGCGACAAGGATGCGTGCTTGGGCCAGCGAGCGCTCGCAAGCCAGCTAGTTCAGCGGGCCGTGTCTGGCGGGTATGGCGCCTCGTGTCTTGCGCGTGCCTAGGGAATGAGGTTCGCACTGCCCTGCTTGGTCCTCGGGCGCGCCAGCGCGCAGGCGGTATGATTTTTGAACGTTGAATTTGTTCTTCAGCGATCCTGTTTTTTCCTCAACCCTCTCCTGAGTTGGGTTGTCGTTTTTAATAAAGCACTTCTCGCGCGTCTCCTCCCTGTCCTCCTGCCCCCCCCCCTCCTGCCCTTACCTCCAACGTGTGTTTTTCCTACCACTCGGGGCTGCGAACTGCGAACCTGTACCAACTTTCGTGGGCTCCTGGGAA